TGAGACTCATGCATACAGTCTCATCTGCCAAGGCTGAGACTCGTGCAGAAGTCTCACCTGCCAAGACTGAGACTCGTGCAGAAGTCTCACATGCCAAGACTGAGACTGCCACTTGGCATTGCTTGGCAATGACCCATGTTACCCTGGCTGTACTGACAAGTACGCCGTAACACACATATATATAGGTAAAGCTATATTAGGCGCATATATAATAATATTAAAGTCTAATAATAAAAAAATATAAATAAGGCTATTACTATTATTAGTTAATAATTAAATAATTAGTTTAAAAGGGGTAGAAGCAGTAGTAGTAGTAATAGTTACCAGGCCGCATGCTGACCATGCTAAGAAGCCGCATGCTCACCATGGCTGCCTCAGCGCCTTAGGCAGCCATAATGCAGCCAATAAGAGGAGGGCACTAGCCCCCCATCCGGTAAGGCGTTGGCCGCGTGGTCACCATGCGACGGTGGACTAGACCTTAAGGTATTTTCCTACTTGAAGATCTGCAGCTGATATAACTGCTTACTCCTCCGGCAACTGTCATCATGAATGGGATAAGATAAGGTTTCAATTTCTATACTGAAGAGTCGCCGGCCAGTAATATTGACCCTCGGCGAGCAAACGCGGACCTCACTTTAGTAGAATTACCCTGTCCAAATTTTAAACCAGAGTACACACCTGTAACAGGCTATGCCTACACTAGGGCTGCGCCACTATGCACTATAAGGGGGGGGGGTTAGCTCTAATGCGGACTAGTGCTTAAAGAACCTTAAGACTTATAGGATTGAGTCTTTTTCCTTCCTTCTCTCTCCTCATCTTGGTTGTAGATAGCACCTGGACTAGATAGCTGGAATCCAGTTACTATAGGCCGCTCACAACACCATCCAAGGTGACAAGTATTACTAACCTAATTTAGGCGGAACAAGCGTAATGAAAGCTCGGGAAATACCCCACATAATCAACTTCTTTGCGGGAATAGTCCACAGAGGGGTCACCCAACAAACTATTGCCTCTCAAAGTGGTGGAAGACTTGAAATATATAGTCACGCCGTGAATTCAGGGTATTATTTGAAACGTCAATTGTCTTTTAGCTCCTTGCCCTGTATTCAGGAAATCTGCTCGACAGCCCGAATTGACCTCTAAGATCCCAAAACATGGAGCCTCGTCGCCTTCCACCAAACACATCTTTGGCAAAATTCCAAATATTCTGCAAGCGGGCGGAACAGATTTGTGGCAACGAAAATGTCTTAATTATATCGAAATCGACCGAATTGATTGATGGTGACTACATAACACCCTGCAAAGCTCACGATATGCACAGCCTTTATAGCCGTGAAACTTTTGTGGCCTCCGCGCTCATCTCTCCCCGCTCTGTTCCCGAGGTCCAGGATATTGTCCGTCTATGCAATGAATTCTCTATACCCATGTGGCCGTACTCTATCGGTCGCAATACTGGATATGGTGGTACTGCACCCAGGGTGTCAGGAAGCATTGGTGTAGACCTCGGGAGGCACTTGAACAGGGTATTGGAAGTCAATCTGGAAGGAGCCTACGCCCTAGTTGAACCTGGTGTCACTTTTGCTAGCCTACATGAGTATCTTGAAGAGAGAAACTTGAGAGAGCACTTATGGCTTGACGTATGACATTATCCTAGTATACTGCTCCGGTAAACTGAAAAGAGTAATGCAGGTTCCAGATCTTGGCGGTGGTTCAATCATTGGTATAGGTTTAGCTATCAGAACTTGTATAAGCTACTGAACATATTCCAGGAAACGCTGTTGAACGCGGTGTCGGCTACAGTAAGCCATTACACAGTGGTCATTCAAGCGAACGCCTCCGCTGACATTTATATCCGTACAGCACCCTATGGCGGTAAGTAAGGTTTAAATAACTACGGTCAGAGAGTAGCCAACTCATACAATTTAAGATCATTGGATGATGCATTGCGGTCTTGAAGTGATTCTGCCCGACGGCGAACTTATTCGAACTGGCATGGGAGCGCTCCCCGATCCGACTGTCGCGAAAGCAGGTCTTCCGCCTCATGAGCAACCAGGAAATCGTTGCTGGCAGCTATTCAACTACGGCTTCGGACCTTACAATGACGGAATATTCACGCAGAGCAACCTAGGCATTGTGGTAAAGATGGGTATCTGGGTGCGTTTGTTCTTCCGCATACTAAGATCCTAAGAGTTAACCTGCTTTTAGTTAATGCCAAACCCAGGGGGCTACCAGGCTTATATGATTACATTTCCCAGGGATGACGATCTCGAGCTTATAGTGGACACGATCCGTCCACTTCGATTGGTAAGCTTTTTGCTGTGTATATGCAATCACTATTAAAATTTCCATATAGCAAATGGTTCTCCAGAATGTACCTACTTTGCGTCATATCCTTCTGGATGCCGCAGTCGCAGGAAGTAAATCATCGTATACTAACAAAACTGGACCCTTGAACGATGCCGAATTGGACGCCATCGCGAAGCGTCTGGAGCTGGGTAGATGGAACTTCTACGGCGCAGTCTACGTAAGTGGATTTTTTTGTGAGACCTTTCTCGAAGTCTGCAAAGCAGTCTTTATTCAAGATCAGGTCTTAATATATAATTTGATAAAGCTCTGCTAACTGCGGTTGCTCAACTAGGGACCCGAGCCAATTCGAAATATTCTGCTCGACACAATTAAAAAGGCTTTCCTCGTCATTCCAGGATCCAAGTTTTATCTCCCAGAGAACCGCAATGAGCCTTATAGTGTTTTGCATACAAGAGCAAAGACGTTACAGGGAATTCCGTCTTTGGACGAACTAAGGTGGATCAAGTATAAGATCCTCAAATCTCTTGGACAGCTTCATGAGTCTGATTTTCAACAGTTGGTTGCCGAATGGAGCTCATCTCTTTTTCTCTCCTATAGCGAAAATATCGGGCAAGGATGCGAATCTCCAGTACGAAGTGACAAAGCGCCGGTGCACAGAAGCTGGGTTGGACTTCATTGGTACATTTACAATCGGGATGCGAGAGATGCGTAAGACTTCAGTGTTATTGGGATAAACGATAAATTAATATTTTTAGATCATATCGTTTGCATAGTTTTCGACCGTGAAAACCCCGAATCTCAACAAAAAGCACGCTGGTTGATTCGAACACTCATCAGAGATTGTGCGGCCTATGGCTGGGGCGAGTACAGGACACACATAGCGATGATGGATCAAATTGCGAATACATATAATTTCAATGACAACGCTCAGATGAAGCTCAATGAAAAGATCAAAAATGCGCTGGATCCGAATGGGATCCTTGCACCTGGAAAGAATGGTATATGGCCTCGGCAATATGATAAGAAAGTCTGGATCATTAATGAGAATGAGCAAACCCCAGTGGCACCGGAGTAACTTTAAAGTGATGTATTTAAGATTGATCTTGAAATCCGTATCAAATAAATTCATGTTTTCTTCCTACACTACTGGTAAGGCCTTTACCGTACAGAGCTGCCGCGCGCGGACATCCTGAACCATTACCATCACCTGTCAAACTACGTCCTGCTTCTTTTACGTGTCAAAATCTTTGATGCAGCGTGATTGAACGCAAATGAGACACTTTTCCAATTGGAAAGAACCCCACAACACTATGGATTTTCCCCGCCACTAATGCAGCGTGTAAATTCGTGCACATTTCCATTTCAGAATTCGATGAATAAGAAACATCCAAAAGTATCATATGACCCACGACACATTCTCATATTGGTACAAAGCGGGTAATACCCCACAATCATAATTTTGCAAAGATCAGAGCGTGCAGTCGACTAAGTGACGGCAGAAGCAAGTGCGTATAGCAAATGTACACCCAGATCTCATATATCAAGGCCTGATCCAGTTCTAGTAAGAAGAAGCTTCCATCGGCAAACTTCTACGTAGTCTAGTCATGGAAGTAAACACTACTGTTCTCAATACCGAAATCTTCGAGAGTCGTGACAGGAGGCTCGCTTTAGAGTTTCTTAAGCCTCGCAGCGCATTTACTATCATACTCATTCTTTGGCTTCTAGATATCATTTACAAATGTACGTTCCATCCGCTAGCAAAGGTCCCCGGTCCTTTCCTGGCGAGATTCAGTCAGGCCTGGAGAAACATCAGGTATTTCAGGGGCACTTGGCACGACGACGTGGTTGCCCTTCACAGAGAATACGGGCGCATAGTTCGAGTCGCCCCAAATGAAGTCAGTGTTGTGGACACTGCTGCTTTGAAACATCTGTACGGTCACGGAACGAAGGCTTTGAAGGTATGAATCCTTTGGCTGATGCAAATATATTGTGTTCTAACGTATGAAACGTATGTAGACTCATTGGTACGATACTTGGAAGATTCCTAACATGACCGAAAGCTTCTTTTCATCTACCGACGTCAAGATCCATCGACATCTTCGCTCCCGAGTCTCCAGTGCTTATTCGATGACATCCGTTCTCGCAATGGAGCCATTCATTCAGCAAGTTGCCGACGAATGTTGGCGCAAGTTCAGCGAATTCGCGGATACTAATCAGCCAGTGCCTATGCACCAGTGGGGAAACTACTTCGCCTTTGACGTGGTAGGAACCTTAGCAATGGGCGGTAAGATAGGTTTCATTGAGCAAGGCCGAGACGTGGACGGTATTATACGATCCATCCATGACGGGTTCTATACCATGGCAAACATGGGTAACATGCCTCTACAGATGTTCTGGTTCAACAACAAGGTTGCACAGTTCGTAATTAAGAGATTTGGGGGAAAACGATTCAACGCATTTTCGGTCTTCCTCGAGTGGTTGGAAAAAAGAGTCGAAGATCGACTGCAAAACGGACTTCAAGGCAAGAGGCGAGACATGCTTCAGCACTTTATAGAGGCCAAGGATATGAGTGGGCGGCCGGTGAAGAAGGGAGACATCATGATTGAAGGGGTCAATATCCTTGGGGCTGGGGCCGACACAACTACTATCGGAATTCTGGCAATCATTGGAGCCCTTTTGCAGCACCCAAAGCAGCTTGAGCGTCTGCAGAAGGAAATTGATGAGGCGTATGAGTCTCTGGGTCTTGGTGGAACTGATGAAATCAGTTTCAAAGATGCCGAGAAGTTGCCATTCCTCTCTGCTGTAATCAAGGAGAGCACGCGATTGCACCCTTCCATTCAGTACCAACTACCCCGGTACGTACCTCGAGGAGGTAGTCAAGTTGGACCGCATCGTCTGCCTGAGGGTAGTATTTGTGGCATCAGTCCTGCTGCGATGAACAGATCCAAAGAGATCTTTGGAGAAGACGCTGAAGATTGGAGTCCCGACCGGTGGATAGCAAGGAACGAGGATGAAGAGAACACAATAAAGGAGCGCAACGCACTCCTGACCACGGTAAATGATCACTGACTCATTTGGCATAGACACAGAGCAAGACTGACGAAGTACAACAGTTTGGAATGGGCAGTCGCGTGTGTATCGGAAAGAATCTTGCGATGGTGGAAATGTACAAATTCACCGCCCAATTCTTCAGACACTTCGACGCCGAGCTTGTCGACAAGTCAAGACCATGGGTGATCAAGACCCAGTGGTTTGCTTTTCAGCACGATTTTTGGGTCAACCTTCGGCGAAGGGAGCACAAGAGGCTTAGATGCAATGGGAAAGACGGCCTCGCAGATTCCATCAAGCAGCTAAGTAAGGAGCTGGGTGAGTCTGAACCGGCGCAGCAAGTAGGTTGGAGTTCAGAACAGCAAGCTCCCATGTAACAGATTTGACAATCGTATTTTTCGGAGCACGGCAGAATAGAACCAGGTTCAGAGACCCGTAATGTGAGGTTTAGTCCAAGTCTTGCTAATTGAGTTTCGGCAACGGCAAATTTGTGTCGCAAAATCCTTTCGACGTGCATTCTCAGGCTGCGTCATGGTCAACTTTGCCCACTGCACCGTATTTGATCGGGCATTACCCCACTCCCACAAAGTCACCCTAGGTAATCACGTGCCAACCCAACGTCGTCCCATCTGCATTGATCAATTTGGCGCTAATGTCTTCCTTACCATGCCCTCTAAAGAAGCCCCTGACTGCAAACTGGCTGTACCCAGTAATGTGCGATGACCTGATGGTGAGAATCTACATTCTGTATATGCTAGTTCTAGTAGTTGACCATCAGTATCCAACACACGCCCGTTCGGGTTCATTCTCGTTTTGTCAGGAATGTCTTTTGTAGTGCTGGTGGTGTGGGAACCATTTGAACGTTATAAGTACAGTAAGAACCTTCTCACCCGGCAGTTGTTGAGCTTGCCAATACCGAGCGCGGCTCTGATTGGATTGCGCTCGAGGGCTGGGAGCATCACCTCCTACCCCGCATGAATCCGCCCTCCTTTTGCCATGTTGTTTGACGCCACTGGAAAAATCATGCTGAAATCTGGGGAAGGTCAACGGCTACCCCATGGGATGTGCTTTCAGCATTTTTGAACTTGCTCGTTCCTTGGACTAGACTGTGTGCCTGGACCCAATATACCTGTTTCCTAATGAACACGCGCATTTCTTTGCCTATAAAACGCGTCTCTACTGACAACGGGCTTGCATTCCGATCAAATTTTGCGAATTGCTGAACGACAATGTCAGATGTCCCCAGACAGATGAACCCTTCTCTTCGGTGCTTGGAATGTGACGCTCAGTTCGGCCGCTCGGAGCACCTCGAACGTCATATTCTCTCTCGTACGTTTCGTCGCGGTAAGGAACTAGTAGACCTCAGCTACTAACGGGCATTTGAAAGACGGAAGCGAACGTCCTTTCCGATGCACATTCTGTACGCAGACATTTAAGCGAAGGTCAGCTCTGCTCTGGTCTCCGCAGTTCCAACCCCAATCCATGATATGGGAAACTCACGCCGCATAGGGATGTCTTGAAGCGACACTGGAGAACGTGTAAGTTTCGACAAGAACAAGATGAGCAAATACCATGGCTACCGCCGAAGACGAGGGGCAAGAAGAGGAAGGCTTGTGATCGTTGCGTGCGCCTTAAGAGGGCTTGCTCATCAGGATACTGGTGCGGCAGCTGTAAGGAGCATAACTATGTCTGCACTTTCAATGGTGTGGCGCAGAAACAAGTGCACAATGGCAGTGATGACGCCGGACCTGTGTCCCTGGAGGACCAGTCTTCACTGCAGGAACGCGAGCTAGCAAGTATGCAAGCTAGTGCTGAACAAATCGATCACAGTAATATTATCATTCCAGGGTTTGACACGGCCTTTGACTTAGAATTGCTTCGAAAAGACGAGGGTCATGAAAATTTTGATACATCTTGGCTATTTGAAACGGAGGAAAAAAACGGCAGTCCGCTTCTACTCAACCATACACCTTTGCGAGAGGCCACAGAGTTTTGGTTGGATATCCCTTCTGATCGGGACATAGGCTCTATCAGCAATTTCCCCTTTCTTAGTAAATTCACCACAGAGGGCGGGTTTTTGGAATCCTTTGATTGCGGATCGCTCATTCAAAGACAGAAAATCGCTGAACAAAGCTTTGAGAACTTTCTGTCGATGCAAAAGCCACATTTGCACGACGAAGGAATTGGTTTTGGCTCGTCTGCATCAGTTCATGGTAGCTCTTCATACGTCGATACCGCCGGCGGAAACAACCCGTCTATTCTCTTCGTCTCGAACCAACTTCGGTGGCATTTCGACACATGCACACTTGAGTCGGGCTTATTCTCTCAGTCTGAACTAGATGCAACTCGAGTCAATTTGGATCCGAGTCCTTCCTACAGCTTTCTCAGTAGTGGATCACTGCAGCTATTACTGAATGATGATGAACTCTCGCCCAAGACGTACGAGATCGTTAAGGAGATAAAATTCATTACATGCAACAAGCCGAGGGGAAGCAAGATAACTATCAGTTGGTCACCCAAGCTGGAGCATATGTGTTTTGATTTCTTTTCACCAGACAATCTACGGAGGTTTCTAAATTTTTTCTGGTGTTGCTGGTATCCGAATTGCCCCATCATCCATCGGCCGACCTTTGTCGCATCGAGCACTTGCCATATGCTTCTTTTATCAATGGTCCTCATAGGGGCTTGTATGTCTCCTGATGAAGGCGATCATGCTAATGCGAACCTCTGGTTCAATAGTGTGGAGGAAATGATCTTTAGTTGCGATGACCTCTATGATATTGACTCGGACGACCCTGCTCTGGATTCTGCTAGAAGGAGAAGAGGTCTAGAGATTTTGCAGGCGGCCTACTTCGTCTGTCTACTTCAGAACTGGGAGGGCTCCGAGGAAAGCAAACGCCGAATACGACGACATCGATATACCACGTTGATTGCAGTGAGTAGATGATTCAGTCAGAAATCGATTTCCTCAGACTTTCGATGCTAACTTTTGGTCTGATTTGACAGTTTGCCAGGGATTATGGCTTCTCGAATGCCACATTACAAAATCTTCATATTGAGGATATCTCCACATTTCAATGGGGCGATTTTGTGAGAAAGGAGTCATTAATAAGGCACATGTCCCGCAATCTAGAACTGAATTGAGACTGACATCACACTCAGAACATTCACTTTTATATTTTTACTTGATACAGCCTTTGCCATCTTCAATAGCTTGCCTCCCAGACTAGTGGTACGCGAGTTGAAGATGGATCTCGCTTGCCCGGAGCCTTGCTTTCAAGCGTGTTCATTCGAGGAGTGCTTTGTCCAGTTGCGTGCTTGGACTTCTCCCCAAACACACCGACAAATGCTCGACGTATCTTCAGCTGTTGAGCTCATGTGTCATCCCCAAATATCCCGCCAATGTCAAGTCAGACTGAACTCGCTCAGCACCCTCAATATGTTCACCTTGGTAACAGGTAAGAGTATTAGCGCTTGACCTTTGCCATTCATGTCGCTAGCCCAAGGTACTGACAATAATGAATCGAATACTGATCTACAGCAGCACTTCATTCGCTGGCCTTCAGTATCCAAAATTCTCTCATCTCTGACTCTGAGATGTCGCCTCTTCACTCAGGTATCGAAAATTGGAAGCAATTGTGGGTTACAGGCAATCTTAGGGAGATGCCAGAAATTGACGAGCAAGATTTGCTGGCGACGATGTGGAAGCGTGTCGGATTCTTCCAGCATGCATTGGAGTTTTGGCTCCTGGTCAAAGCAACGGTGGGTCAGATGCACAGCTTGCGACCTAATCAGAGCTGCACATATGTCGTTGATAATAGCTTAGGAGATGGAGCACGCAGCGTGAGATCAATGAAGTATGACGCGGACATGAGTCAGGTCCACGCAATCATCACAGCGTTGCAAAACTTCAATCTGTCGGAACTGTGAGACCTCGCGTGCCTCCTCAATACTGAATACAGTCTCCCTGGGGGACAAACTCATCACTCAAATATATATCCAGAAGATGAATCAATGTGCAGACGCTGAGCAAGCGCGTTTTATTTATAGAAATGCAACGACTGTGTATTTCAATATGAAAGTAAACCTTGTTTGCCCCATTCGCCGCCAATTCCGCTCTCCCTGTGACCAGAAAAATATGCAATAGGCAGCGGCTTTTCAAAGCTGTTTATCCATACAAAGCCGGTTTCAAGCCGGCGGCCTATGCACTCCGCATGAGCCGAGGTCCGCAGACCAGACGCAACTTCCGAGTCCCGACATGGTTTCACACGCTTGATAACCTCGTCTTCAGTCTCCCATTCTATAATAGGCTTAAGCGGCCCTGGAATGAAGTTAGACACCCACTCTCTTATTAGAATATATTCTGGATAAAGTGGCACATACCGAATTGTTCCTTACGAACGACGTTTGCGTCGTCTGGAGGTCGGTCGATAATCGTTGGCTGAATCCACAATCCAGGCCCGTCATCGAACCCTCCGCCGGTCGCGATCTCATACTCGCGAGCCTTTCAGTCCTCAGGCATATCATTGACAATTGCGTGCTGCATACTGTTCAGTCCAGAGGTTGTTTTAGGCTTAGGGTATAAACTGAGGATATTTTTTCACAATTTTTTGAAAAGCCTATAAGATAGAGCTAGTCTTAAGGTTTATATAGGATATTAGTTTATCTATATAGCTATTATATTAAGGGTGTTATGCTTTTTTAAAAATTTCAATATTTGAGTTTTTTTTGGATCGGGTGCCAAGAGCGTCACAATTCAGTGGTCCGTATATAGGTAGGATGCTAAGAGCATTATAATTCAGGTAGCCTATATATAGGTGGGGTAAGGAGGGATACCAAGAGTATTATAATTTAATAGCCTAAGTATAGGAGGGGTCCTAAAAGCATTATAATTCAATAACCTATATATAGGAGGGGTACTATAAAAGGTTAATATCTGTGTTACGAAGTAACATGGGAATCACGTGAAAGGAAAATGATCATATTAATTATTCATAGTTAAGGTAATTAGTATTAAGAAAGTATTCCTAATAAAAGTTAAATTACTGATTTATTAGATAGGGTAAGGAATAATATCTTATATCTACTATCTTTAAGAGAAGTAGTAGAAGTTAATAATAGTCTGATCTATTAAAGAAAAAGGTTAAGATTACTTTAAATATAAATACTATTAGGCTATTAATATTTAGAATAGTAGTACCTCTACCACCTCTACCACTACTAAGAGATCCGGAAATTCTACCAGATATTTAATTATCTAATAATTCTGACTCTAGAAGCAAAGTGTTACGAAGTAACACGTGATCAGTCACATGAGTGATCATTTTGATCATTTTTGGGAAAATGATCAAAATGAGCGCATTAGCCAATGGTTGAGGGTTAGGATACTGTTGATTGGTCAGAGTGATCATTCTGATCATTTTGCCAAGAATGATCAGAATGAGCAAGGCAATAAGGATATCAGGAAAACGGTCTATATAAACGTCCTGTCTCTACAGATATTTCAGTCTCTGTAATTCAACTGTCTAGCGTAGCTAGTAGTTAGTTTGAATACATTCTCATACTTCTGAAGCTCATACCATTCTAAGTCACAAACGTAACTATCTTATTATATTCCTTCCTTAATAAGCTCTGGTTATACATTGTTCCCTTGCTCTAGGAAGCTAATCCCTTCCGAAGTGGCTTACATTGGTGAAGCCAGCCGGTATTGGGAAAGTATTCCTAACACAAAGATCTATTTAATAATAATATGGCTTAACCTAAAGTTAATCTACTTAAATCTTTTAAAGGGGAATAATCCAAATATAAGGCCTTCAGGTCTCAGCTTAGAATTTATATCTATTAGAACCAGGATAAGCTTAAAACTGAAGAGAAGAAAGTTATATATATAATTTCTTACTTAAGAGGAAATATATATACCTGGATCTAGAGGTAAATTAATTAATATATCCTAAAGAAGGGAGATATTCTATATAATATTAAAAGGATTTTCTAAAGCTACTTAATATTTATAAGAGAAATAGACTAGTACTTTTAGTAAATTAATAAGGCTTATCTAGCTAAAAAGAAGTTATTAAAACTATATTAAAAGTTAGATATAAGTTCCTATATAATTAAATTTAAAAAATAGGCTATACTTTTAAATTAGAATAATAATATACTCTATACTAAGTTCTTTATAGGATTTAAACTAGAAGTTAAAGCCTAGTTACAGCTTAAAGAGAAAGAGATTGTTACGAAGTAACACGTGAGTAGATTCAGGAGAACGCTGATTGGTAGGAGCGATCATTTCGCTCAGTATTGAGCAAAATGAGCGCGCCGACC